CACTTATATCGGTGGTATGATACTTTCCATGAATTTCAAAGATGTATTTGCTTCTGGAAGCTTTTGTGACATCTGTTGCACATACTGAAAGCTTCAGAATGGGAATGGGAATGCTTGCAGAATGGGAAGAGCCTCAGGTTTGTGCCGGGCCACAGTGCTGCTCCTCACTGTCCTCTCCCTCACCTTAATTCCATATTGCATGTACAGCCAAAGATCACCATTTGTAGTGCCGTGTAAGTGAGGATATGTCTCCTTTCTGAACAACCTTTCTTGGCTTGTCCAATGGTGCTCAACCTTTTTGCCCAGCAAGCTCCATGGACAGTGCCCCATCTGTCTGTGGGCTGGATCTGGCTGGTGGTCTTGACCTGGTGCCACAGTAACTTGCTATGGGAGCTTCCAACCATGGGAGTTTGATACTTGCCAGTGTAGGGGGAGCCCAGGATTGTGAATCTGGGCTCCTCCTGCACTGGCAATAAGGCGTGACAGGATCTGATGCTTGATCCAACAATCGTGCCTCTTGCCATGCATGTGTGGTCTGGCAGAAAGCATGATTGTGGGGATCATATATCAGAGCCCATTGCACCTTTACTTGTACATTTGCCAGAGACATTACTTAACAACAGTGGGAGCTGGGGATGCTCAGCATTGAAAGTCAGCCCACAATGTCTTAAGGTAGCAACCCAAAACTGAGGCACTGAGTGAACAGTGGAATAAGAGACCTTACAAGTCCATCTGAGCAGAAACTGCCCCTGGGACTAATATGGTTAAGGCTTACCAAGTCCTACAGACAACAGTACATAAGGGACCAACATGGCCAACAACATGATTGGCCACCTTTGACTCTCTACAATTACTAGGTGCCAGATTACAGCTGGGTTGATTTTTATCAACCTTCAGTTTGTGCCATGACTGCAGTTTTCATTCACACCTCTGGAGTCATAGCAAGATGTCTTGACTGTTCTGCCATCATTCTCCATTAAGACACCCGGCAAAGGATCAAAATTCAGGGTGTTTTCTTTTTCTTTAGCATGCCATATCAGAAAGCAGCTGGGATCCAGAGACAAGGCCATTCACTGCTTTTGTGGTCCTGTCTAGACCACTGATGCCTTGAATGTATTTGCTCTTTATTACAGCAGTGTATACTACTGCAGAGTTTAAAGACCCTATCCAGCTCCTAAATGCATAGATGCTGCCATCTGTAACATCCAGTCCGCAAGGTTTCCACATTTCAACTACTCTAATCACAGAGAAAATAAAAGCCCTGGAGATACAAACACAAGAAGTCCTCTATTCTTGTGTGAAAGACCCCGAGAGCCATTTTGTGTGGCACAGGGTGATGAATATATTATTGGAACTTTTAAACAAGGCAAAGTGGATAAAGTAATTCTGCTGTTAGCTCAGAGCCCATATTTCTCTCATCGGATCTGTATCCTTTGCTGTGACTTTTCACAGTTACATAAATATGGCCTATTTTTTCCCTGAATTAACATCTTGCTCTCTAAGTTTAGGCTTTCACACACACATAAAACAAACTGCCTGATTTCTCACACACAGCTGGAGTCTTGGTGCATGCGGGAGGAACTGTTCCTACAAATATAAAACATTCACAGTTAGTGACTGACAGATGGGGCCAAATCCTCTGCAAGTGGCACCAATTTTGTTCCAGGCTACGTAGTTCTGTGCACCATGTTGCAAACATATTCCGAGATGACCCATCCTATGGCTAGGCCAACAATCCAAGACCTGTAAGGGGGTAGGTGGCCCTACATTTAGTCAGCAGTCTGAATAGATATGTGTTCCCAGGAGTGGGTGGATGGTCTCACATGCTCTAGGGAACAAGTGGTTGGTTGCATGTCTTGGACATGCATAAGATGGTTATGTGCTCCAGAAAGGAGACCGCTATGGGTAGCTTCTGTCAAGAGTAACTCTATGTGAAGACAGATCTGAACTATTTGGGGAAATGTGGATAATGTCTGCTGCTTAAAACCCTGCAGCTCTGGGAGATAAATCTCAGATGGCACTGCTAGTGATTACTTGTATCAAAGCAGAACCCAGAGACGCCATCTATGATTGTGGCCTGTACAGACACCATTACAGGGAGTCTCTGCCTTGACCTTCTCATTATCTACTGTTCCAGAAACAATGTCCCAAACCTTTCTATTTCTGGCTTATCTAAGCATGCTGTTTTTAATACAAAACTCATCGCTGTGATACCTGAGCACCTGATTTTCAGTTATATATAAGGTCTGTTCACAGGGACAGGCAAAGTTGGCCATTTGGGTTTGCTAAATGGTTCAGATTTCCTAGTCTGGGACTATATCTGTGGTTTTTGCTGTGATCTACTAATGCTCAGATGGAGAGGATCCTAAATCAGACTATAATGTAAACTTTGATTCTGAGTAAGTTTTTGGCAAACCTGTTATAAAGCCCTTGTATATATCCTTGATCCTTTTTGGGAGCAGCAAATCTTTGCACACTATCTCTAACTGACTTCAGAGATCTTTATACCTTTGTAGACATTGGGGCTGTTTCTAGGCCTGCCTCCTAGCTTGGGTTTGTACCTTTCTTCCTTTTGTCCCTGAGTGTCCTTGGTTTCTGGCAGGGATGGAGCTGTCCCCATATCTCTGAGCCCCAGAGAATCTTCTATCAAGCCCTGTGGCTGTTCCTAATTCTTACACTTGTATTCAAGTCTCTTCATCATATCTTGGTGGGGGAGGCTGCATTGTAGTTCTTGCTGCCTCTTCTTAATAGGCATCTTTATTTCCACAGGGACAAATCCTTGCCCCAGAGAAAGCTTGAATAGCATGTAAGGTTCTGCTGGGTTGGGAATGAGATATCTGAACCCTTTGCATGACCAAAAAGGGTCAGTGGGGCTACCCTGTATCTGCTCTGGCCACCTGGAAGTTGGAATTATGGTCCCATGATGCTGAGCAAATGATCAGTGGTTCCTTGTAGTACTGAGTGCCAACTCCTTTTCACCTGCCCCACTCCTGTTCCTGAATTCTGCTGCCCTATTGGTACCATCTGGTGACTCCTAAAACTATCATCCTGTGGCAACACATCTGCATGACTTCTGCTGTAGGCAAGGCCCTGTACAACTGTGGTTGGGGGACAGGATTTGTCCCCTTGTGCTTTAAAACATTAATTATTGTTCCAAGGTTATTTACCTGCTGGGAATGAAATACAGTCTGATGACTCCCATGCAGAGTGACCCACAGTGAAGCCATGTTCCTGTTAGATAACTAAGTCATGAGGCAAAATGGATGACCTGGTGGTTCAGACATTGGATTGCGACTCAGGAGGGCTGGGATCTATTCTTAGCTTTACTCAGACTTGTGTGACCTCAAGCCAATTGTTATGTCCTATAAATGAATAAAAAATGGCACCAGAGGTGTTGTGTGCTCTCAATTTAATAGCTGCATTGGGTATTGGCTGCCACAGGCAGGGAGCACTTTTCAAAGTTTGCACTCACATTTGACTGCACTGAACACTCATTGATTTTATTCATGGCAGCTGAGTAGCTAAATCCTCAAGTGCCTCTTTGAAAATGGAGAGGGAGAAGCCTCACAACTGGGAGCAGGTGGCTAACAGAATGAGGACTGCTTGGAGGGCATGTGATTCACATAAGTACCTCACCAATTTCTTCTTATGATCCTGATAAATCATGTGCCCAAAGTCATTTGTCTCCATTAAAGGATTAAAATATGAGATTGGAATAAACAGGGATAAGGGTGGGATTTAAAAAAAACTGAGTTAGGAACATAAGTCCTGCTTATTTTCAATGGCATTTGTGCTCCTAAGCCACATAGGGACTTTCAATCCCCTCCCACCCTATTCAGTATCCTTCCTGGGGAGGCTGAGAGCTTGGGTCAGTGGTGGCCTTAGGGTTGTTGGGGCCCTGGGCAAGAGAGTCATTTGGGGCCCCTTAGAGGCATAAGTTGAAGAAAACAAAAATTTTAATAAGTTGAAGAAAGAGTTTTTTTTTTTTTTTTTTTTTTTAACATTGAGGTATATTCTAGGTCCCTTGCATCTTCTATATTGGTTCACCTGCAACACAAATTCCTCACAGGACGTAAGCTGATAGTCAGTGTGGGGCCCCGGGCAGTCGCCCAGTTAGCCCTCCCCTAAGTCTGCTACTGCTGGGGTTTTGGGTTTGACCAGAACAGGGCATCCACAAAGTGGGAGCTCTGAGCTCATTGCTGCTCTCAGATGCTGCACCTTAGGGAGAGAGAAAAACTGTGCTGGTCCACACTGGCCTCTTGAATCCCTTTGGACTCTTCACAGCCTAGCCCAGGCAAAAGGGACCATACAGAACAGCTGAGCTGTATGTAATTCTGATTTGGCTGGTGTGTACAACACACCATCTGGTAGGTTTGGGGCCAGGGTACCACTAAACCCCCGAGTATAGCTGAGAAATAGGGCTTTTAGGATTTTTTTATGCACCAAAGGAGAACTAAGTAGTCAAAAAAATAAATGAATCTAGAAATGTGCGTAAAACCACCCACAGTTTCCTATAATAACAGGCTCTATTTTCTCACCTCTAACATAACCCTTTCTTTCTCCAGTTAAAATAACAATAATACTAACAATAACAGCAGCAGCAACCCCAAACAGGTGAGTCCTAATCTTCCTTCCTTCCCTTCTTCCAGCGATCCCCGAGGAACAATTCTCCCCCACATCTCTTCCCCATCTCTTTACACAGAAACAAGTGAATTCTGGGGAGTGAGCCTCAGGCAGCAGCCAGCGTACTGGAATAATGAGAGCAAGTCAGGCAGTGCCATCCTGCACAAGTCTCTGTGTGTCTCTATCTGCTGTGCTTGTGTGCATCTGAGAGCTTCCTCTCTCTCTTCTCCCCCTTCTCTCTCTTTCATAACCCCCCTCCTTCCACCAGCTCTTGTTCTTTTTATGAGATGCAGAGCTGGGAAGCTAAGAGAGTAGCATGTTGCTGCAGTTATTCTAGAGATATCTGTGGTCAGGCTGGCTGCCCTTCACGCTCTCTGATGTACCAGGAGGCTGCAGACCCTGTTATTCAGGGTCTTAACGAGCCATACCCATCAGACACTTGCCAAAACCACGTAGCCACCACCATGCTGACAGCTACAAGACAGGTAAGACCTAGGAGCTTGTTACTATCAAAGGGAAGGTTTTTGGCTGGGCCTCTGTGTGGCAGGGCTACGGGCCTCTTGGTTCACGGCTCAGCTATAACATCGACAGTGGCTTTTTCTTTATGCTATCACTGATTCTTGTGGGGAATAACAGGCCTGCACATGGGCACAGAGGGGAGGGGGAGAGATCACCTTCTACTGTCACCCCAATTAATGTTACCACAATGCTTTTTTTGGTATGTTAATCTTTCTGTGGCATGGTCTAAGCAACATAGCACTGTTTTTAATCAGCAACTGCAAAAAGAACTGTGTATTCCTTCTATTTAACCTCCTTCCCACGCTCCCCCTAACCTCACCGGGGATGGTATTAGGAGAGAGGACTCTGGTTCTAGGGGTGATGTCTGTTTCAGCTGGATTAGCTACGGTCCTTTTACTCTGCTAAAATAACAGTAAATGCTGCTGGAGTTATGTTGCAGATATGATGTCTTCACTATATTTTTAGTTTCATTCTTTTTTTTTTTTTTTTTTTTTTTGTAAAGAATGGATCACATTTTCTTTTAATACTCGACATCCCAGGTTACTCATGCCATTGTGACTAACACCAACGATTAACACCATTACTGAGTATTTTAAAAATAAAACTAATTGGAGTGAAAGGAGAATGTGTTGGAGGTAGTGAAAACTTGCAGTGATAGCAGGAGAGTTTGGGGACAAGGGGTTAGTTGGGGTCTGTTCTAGGAGAGCTGTATTTACCTGCACTAGTGGCTATTGGATGCCTACTACACATGGGGCACGTCTACATGAGACACTGACTATGCAGTTGTTACTGTGCAGTCATTTAGTACTCGTGTATACTAAATGGCTGAGCAGTATCATCACTAAACGGCTTCTAGGTGATGCTTACTGCACAGTAGCTCATTACTACTGTGCAATAGCATCGTGTCATGCTTTGCGCCATGGGACGCTACTGTGCTGTAGTAATGAGCTACTGCCCAGTCAGCATTGTGTAGACACGGCCATGGAGTATTCTATTGGAACCAGTTCAGTGTTTCTGTTTTATTTTGAATGAACTGGAGTGCTTGGTAAATGAGAGTGATCAAAAAATAAGAGGGGCCAATAGCACTAAAGTTTATGCAAGGATCTGCAGGTGGCTTCTAGTTAATATATCTCAGTCCAGGTCCATGATACTCCTGTTATTTTAATACCAGGAACCCACATAATTCCACAAATGCACCTCAGTTCTGAAAAAGACTTACCAGGTGATCCTAGTACTGGAGCTCTACATAACTGTCATGCTGCACCAGAGCCCCTATCTGCAACTGAGCTGATGTTCCAGCTCAAGGCCTCTCATGAGCAGAAGCATCATACTGACCTAAGTCAGGGTCAACATAAGCAATTCCTGTACAAGCTTCCAGCTCAGCTGAGGATGCCCATCAGTCCTTCTGCCTGGAATAGCATGTGGAAATCCAGCAAACTGCAGCTCTGCTGATGCACCTTAGGCCAGTTCTACCCCTGTTATTCCAGCTCAGTCTCCCAAGCCGATAATTTTTATGGGGTAACTTATTACAGGAAAAATAAAAGGTCTTTTGGAGACTAGCTGGAGCTCTTCTATCTCATATCATTTTTGTCAGAATCCATGTTTGAACAAATGTCTTCACAAGTGAAATAGCACAGAATAGACTAACCTGAGACATAGCTGCTAAAAGAGGCGTGGGCAGCCTCTGTGTATGGCACATGGAAGACTGGAGAGGGGGCAGGCAAGAGTGGCAGATAGGGCTGGAAGCAGATCAGGCAGGGAGCCCAGGGCAGGAAGAAGAAAGTAGAGCAGCAGCTTGATCAGGGAGCAGAAAGCTGAGCAGCAGATCAGGTAAGTGGAAGGCATTAAAATAATGCTCAAGGAGGGTGTGGGGGCTAACTTGTGGTACACCTGCCACAAAGGTTGGCCCTCACTGAAATAGCACATGGAGCTCCCAAACTAGCAAGGTGCTACAGCTTGTGTCTAAATTTAATCATCCAAGCAGTCCTACTGAAATCAATGGGACTACTCATATGGTTATAGTTAAACATGCACCAGAGTCCTGTGCTAGATGGGGAGCTAATTCTCCATACTACATAGTACCTCTTCAGGGTTGTCAAAAGTCCTATTCCCTCTTGGTGAATGAGGCTTGCATACCCTGTTGTACACAGAGTTCTGAAGGCTTTGGAACAGCAGTGATGAATGCACATGGACATAGCTTCCATCCTGTAACAGGGGGCCTTCTCGGGGCCACTTTCCCTGCAGCCTGCCCACCTGTTTCTGGACTAACCGCCTGCCTTCTCGCCTGCCATGCCTTGTTGTTAATTAATTAGTTCATTGATGTAATTAAGCAGGAGGCTGCCCATTTCCGGCCCCGATGCCAGGGGTGCTATCTGCGGCTCCGTTCCTCCCCTATACCATAGCCCAAGCCTTGCTGATGGCATCTAGGTGTTATCATAATCACCAGCCCCCACTCTGGGCCCCAGAATCCTCCTAATTGAACCCCACCTGGATTCCTCTCATCAGGCGGTCTCATCCGCCTTCATACTAGGCAGCATAGCTCCCTGAACTGCTTCCCCTTTGGGTGTGGTCCCCCCCAGGACCTTTGGCTCCTCTAGCCCTGGCCCACCTCCAGGCCAGTCAGGACCCCAGGTGTGCAGCTCTTGGGTGTTCCTCATGGTGGGCCCCTGGCCCTTCGACCCTTCCAGTCCTGGCCCCAGCATTGATCAGTCAGGGGAAGTTCAGACAGGCCTGAGTCTATGGCCTTCCTCTCTCTCCAGGGATCCACCCGGTTCAAACAAAGGGGTAACCCACCCGGTTGTGCGAGCTAGGGTTAAGGTGCCCCAACCCGCCTTTCACCGGGGTGGTAACTGGCCTGGCATTTCCTGGGGGCTCCCGCGCCACTGAGAGCCCCACCAGGCCACCCACTCCCAGTAGGGTGCACTTTTAGGTCATACACAGGACCAGGAGCCTCCTTACCATCCCCTACAGCTCCTCCCTTACCTCCAGATGATACCAGCAGCTCTGTGGCCAGGCAATGTTGTTGTCTGGCCTCCAGTAGCAGAACTGCTCTGTTTATATGAGCAGCCCCAGATAAAAATGGCGGCCCTCATCAGGCACCTGGCAGCTGCCAGCTCCAGGCCCTTAAAGTGGCAGGCACAAACAGTGCCCTGCCACACATGCCTATTAGATGGATTTGCATGCCATTTTGGTTTCAAATAGATTGTAGCTGCAGCCACGAGGTCTTAAAGGCTAAACTTAGATAGTCAGTGATTCTGATACTTCATAGGATCTCAGTGTCATTATACACTTCCCTTGGAAACTTCAGGTCCTTTACAGGGTTTCCGAATTATTTGTCAGCACAGATTTAAGCTTGCCTCCAGCAAACTTCACTTGCTGGTGTGTATCCAATATCCCATATCCATAGGGCAGCACATGTTAACACATACAGAATTCATTACCTTCACTCCCATAATCATTGGGCTCTGCCACATCCTGATGAAGCAGGATTGCACAGAAAGCCACCAACAGCTCTTAGGCCTTGTTTTCTAAGGCATGTCTACACCAGGGCAGCAGCATGACCCAATGGGCTGTTCCTGGGCATTCCCTACCCACTTGATCTTGTTCACTTGTTCTATAGCCAGAGATGGCTGCAATGATGCCCTGGGGCATCCCTCTGTGGCTGCTCTGAAGACCTTGCTCTCCAGTGTACCGAAAAACAGCCACAAGGGACAACTCCAGGACATTTTCATCTGCATATCTCTAGGTTTAGAGCATGTGTGTGGGGAGGAGGGAGGAAGGTAAAAGGGGTGGTTTCAGAGCTGTTCCAGTCAGATCATGCTGCTGCTTTAAAAAGTGTCCAATTAAAGAGCCAGAGTGTGGTGCTGATGAGCATTGTCTTGGGCTGGGTTTTCTGACAACTCCCACCAAAGATTTTTCATGACCATTATCACCCTTTTTCCATGTAGCTCAAAGGACAATGGATCAACTAGCTTTTCCCTGAGAAATTCTGTCTATATTTAATGAAGCCATGTGTTTACCCATTTTAGGGTACACCTACACATGCCGACTTAAGGTGCATTAGCCATTTTAAAGGCACATTAAGGGTGTGGTTCTACATGTGCATGCCCTTAATATACCTTAAAAATGGTGATTTTTAGGCTATTTGTGTCTAAATTTGATACTTGCAAAATCAGCTATCAAATTTAGACATGAATAGCTAAAGTGCCTTAACACCTGTGTAGACGCGCTAAGGCACATTAACACTGTTTACGTTGACTAACTTGGGACTAACTTTAGTCCCAAGTTGGTCCACACACTGTGCTAATGCGCCTTAGTGCATGCACGTGTAGACGCGCATCTAAATCACCTTAATGCACATTAGGCAAATGCACATTAAGTTTAGGTGCGCATAAAAGCACGTGTAGACACACCCTTAGTGATGTAGTAAGACCCATTGAGCTGGGGCTGATGACAGAGGGATATCTTTGGCATTAAGGATTTAATTGCAAATGATATGTTGCTTATTTTGTGAGCTATTGTACGCAGAAGCAGCTTGAATCTAGCACCTGGTGAACTAGCATCTTGAATCCTGGCTTTAAAGTACCACCAGGAATTGCCCCACCTAGGCAGCCAGCAACCCAGGCCTCATAGTAGAATGCTCCTGTTGCAAGCAGGTTTCTTTACATGAGGCTCTGTAGAAGGTCTTTCTGAATTTCTGTTTCTCTCTGTCTCTGTGTCTCTAGTGGTAGGTAGACTGACACTGAAGTCACAACAGTGACTGTACTGTACTATTTACTGTATTTACTCAAATACAAGATGAGGCTTTTCTCCCCGATCAGCATGGGGGAAAAAAGCCTCCTGTCTTATAATTGAATACAAGGAAACCTCAAATGTATTGTCCATCATTAAACTACTGCCAAGCATGTGCTCAGTAATAGACTATGAAGTTAATTAAATGCATTACACTGAGAATGACACTAAAACA